ACTTCACATAAAAAATTCTTGACCCATTTAATTATATTAAGAATGATTATGTATTTATGTAATAAAGCTCACATAATACGTACTATAGGAAATTTTACACCCGCATAATATTGAAATGTCCAATTTACCTATATATACTTATAAATAGTCGATTCACAATACTAAATTATGTAACATTGTACATGTTTAGTTCAACTATAAAGAGAACTGGATTAACTATTTAATAAAGTAAATATTATAAAGGGAACAATGATTCTTATTTTTTTAGGAGAAACTTATTTTTTATTCCTTTGGAATTATTTTTCAAACTCATTTACCCTTCCTATTACATTCATTTACGGTCTAATTAAACGCCCTTATAATTTCTGTGAATTTTGGCATAAAAAAAAAAGATACTGGGTATATATAGACATGTTTTCAAAGTTAATTAATGCTGTAGGAAGTAGTAGTAATCAAGGTTTTTAATCCAAAATATGCGTTTTCACTTTGTTATTAAAGAAGCAACCTCTGTCTTTACGAGCATGAACATGTCCAGACAATTATTTAGTACACACATATATGATATGGACAACATATACATATAACTTGACAATAAAAAGATCATAGATAAGATTTACCTATCAATAATGCATGCTACAAAACAATGAAAAGCAACAAATGTACTACATGCATATTATGTATGCTACCAACAAAGATTTTTTTTTTTCCTTTTTTTTTTTGGTGAGAACCCAAAATTCTAAACTAATATAATATTAAACCAATCAGGAAATCCAATATTATCATTACAAATCAAAGATATAGTCATCATTGATATCTCCCCTTGATACGATTCTCCAACATATACTTATAGACTCAAGGAAATAAGCGTGCATGGAACATGCATGGTGTTCTATCTTCTTTTAAGTGGGACAATGCATTTTTCATGACCAATAGAGTATAATTAAATATTATAAATTGGGCATGATTAAAAGCTAAATTTTCTAGAGTTTCAAATTGTATCCAAATTTTTCTTGCTGAATCTTTGCAGTGGATCTGGTGAAAAGAACTTTCATGTGAGATATGAACATAAGTCAGCTGAATCAAGCAAAACGTGTCCCCAAAATCTTGAGTTGAATCATTCCAACTTTGAAAGAGATAGATAAAGAATCAAGATCAAAAGAAACCCCTGCGTTCATTCACATGATCAATATCAAAGAAAATCTTTAGATGAGATTGTATTTTCGAAACAATAATGGAGGGTGTAGGTTGGACCACAGTTAATTATTTTCGAGTAGTGTTAATATTATTGATCATGAGATATATATACATATATCGCATATTGGTGGGTGAGAGAACGTGACAAAAGAAAATTTTACTTGCAGGAGACGGCGATATCGAAACTGGGCCTTAATTGATACGAACATATTGACTTTAGGAATGGCAACAAAAACGACATTTACTTTGTTAGATATATGTGTTCGTAAAATCAACTTCGCAATCAACACTAGTACATCATCATAACATGCATATATTTATAGGTCTTGTACATTTTCACATGTTATACATTGAACACTTTTGTACTATTAGAGAGTACCTATTATAAGTGTGTAAGTAGTGCATACTTATAATATAGGGAAAATTTCATATTAGTATAATGTGTTATAGCGTAATTGTCTTTTGGTATCCCGTGTTTTAGTAATTTTAAATTGGTACCTTGACATTTTAGAAAATTATTTTTTAGTACCTTGAGGTCATTATTTATGATATAAAATGTCAAATTTACCTTTTTCATTACTTTACCAAAAATTAATAAATTTAGAAAAAAAAATTCTAAAAAAATTATTTTTAATTTAAAGTATTATTTTTATTTTTAATTTTTAAATGTTTAAAAAAAATTTCAAAATTTTTCAAAATTTATTATTAGTTTTTTTGATAAAGTAATGAGAAGAGTAAATTTGTCATTTTATATCCTAAAAAATGACATCAAGGTACCAAAAAATAATTTTTTAAAATGTTAAGGTACCAATTTAAAATTACTAAAAATACCGAGTACCAAAAGACAATTACAATATAACACGGTACCAAAATGAAAATTTTCCTATAATATATTATCTATATCAAATCATATTGTAATTTTATAACTATATAGAAATAGTCATATATATAATATGTATGCATGTATGTATCAATTGAACGGATCAAAAACCTTCATTACATACCGCGCGCCTACATTTGTGTGTATGCATCTATGTATCTATATGTATATGTGTATATATATATGTATGTATCTATATGTACACACATACCTTATTGATCTAATTAGGCAAAATTCAAAAGATCGTTTACTACCTACCAACTTGTATAATACAAGTAACTACTTCCCAAATTAGTTTTCTAATTGTTTAGCGAACTTGCTGAAAGTTAACAAATTTTGCTTGTTTTCAAAAGTGATTGATAAAGGAGGGAAGGGAGGATATATCTCGGCAAAGTACTGATAACCTAAAAACACATGAAAAACAAGATGTATATATGTATTACATAGTATTTCTTAGATTTCTAACTAATTTGAATTTTGGAATTATGGAAAAAGTACTTGATCAGAAATTAAAAGAGAAAAAAATAAGAGAGATCTTGCTATTATCCATAGTGTCAATATGTACAGACTGGCCTGCAGTTGGCAGCCATTATGAAACAAAGAGAATCTTTGTAAGATCGGCTGATCACCAAAACAAAATCTAGTATGGATTTCACATATAACGTTACAAATATTTTCTAAAATTTTAGGAATCTAGAAGGAAAGCAAGGTATGAGCATCTATGGGGTCCAGATGTTCGCCATGTCATATATAACATAATTATTATGTTTTCTCCCTAATCAACATATACATGCACATGTGTGTGTGTCTATATATATATATATGACAAGTATTTAACGACCCGGCACAATCCCACGTGACCATGAAAGATATATACTCTTATGATGAGTTCGGCGGATAGTGGCACATGGCATCATCGAAGGACCTTAATTGCATTAGAAAACACACACACACACACACACACACACACACACACACACACACATATATATATATATATATATACATATATATATACACAATCCAAATGTGAATTCGTTTTCAATATACTATATATCCAATGGAAAAAAAAAAAAAAAACTCGGTAGCCTCTAAAATAAGATAAAATATATCACGTTATTTTAAAAAGATTAAGCAGAAAAATTTATTAAAAAAAGGAAAAGGGTTTTTATGTTTGGGTTATTATAACTGTGTCTCTCTACACTACTATTACTAGTCTTATGGCCTTCTAACATAAGTTTATCTAATTAACATGAACAAGGCGGCTAGCAAAGAAAACGTTCTTCAAAAAGGAAAAAAAAAAATTGTTTAAGAATAGACCGAAAATCGTTAATGCAGAAAATGATCAAAATATATGATAATTATAATGAGTTTAAAAAGCTGATAACCAATAATGAAATCGATAAAACTGCAGGTATATATTGGAATGAATTTAGTTGTTGACAATTGCGTTACTTTCAATGACAGAAAATTACTCACACGAAGGAGAAAGTTCTAAGGCAACAGAAAACATTAATAAGCGAATTAATGATTATTATCTATTCAGGTATCAATTTAGAAGTAAGTCTAATTTGTCTTTTTAATATGGTTACAGTTTATCAACTGGATGCTAAAAAATAAATTAAAATGTTTAATTTCAACGTTTTATTATTATTATATTTTTAACAAATGAAGATCTACTCCAAGATTCAACTAGTGGGAAGTACGATGTCAGGAACTTTTGGATAAGTCATATGTGGAACTGGTTAGGCTTGAGGTGGTCATAATTGACAGCTTATAACTTGTACGTATCTTGTAAGATGATATGTGTGTGTGTGTGTGTGTGTGTGTATAGATATACATATATGTGTGTGTGTGTGTGTGTGTGTGTGTGTGTGTATATATATATATACATATGTGTGTGTGTGTGTGAGGATTTGATATCCTAACGCTAGTGCATCTACCTGTTCATTTATTAGGTGATCACCACGTTGTATAACACCAATAAGGGTGGTACTTTAAGGGTGGTACTATTGTTTCCCTTTTATGGCATCAATCCCTGTACTTCTAGAAGTTACTTATCTACTGAAAATTTTCTTAAAGAATATAAGTTCAATTGAAAAAATGTTTCTTAAAAAATTGTATATGGAATTTTCAATTAAGGGCTCGTTTGACATTTCTCTGGCGGGAGTTTATAGATTGTTAAAGAATCTACAGTAAGTCAGTTACTGATATATCCTCTCTAGCCATATATATATATACACACACACACACACACACACATAAATTGTTTTGTAAATCTTAATTTACCCAACAAAATTTAAAAAGTGTTGCTGCTTAACGACATAATTTAGGAATTAGGCAGAAATTGGTTTTACGCATATATTTATGCATTGTTATTGTTGAAATTTACCAAATTTTGGTGTAAAAAAATTATAAATGTTGGTCTTCAAATTAGCATAAAAACTAAAATCATAAATATATGTACTAAAATACTTTTAAAATAAAATTAAAACATGTCTATTGTAATCGTTATATATTTTTCAGAGCAATTTAATCTATAGTTTATCCAAACACTTGAATATGTGAAGAAAGAGTCTTATTTCTTCTATTTATTTTGGCTAGGTTGTTTTTTCTTTTCCCGATCTTTATGGATTAGGCTTGTTTATATTTTCTTTTTCCTTAATTAAGTTTTAGGCTTGGTCAAATTGTGTTTACCCAAAATCAAGCAAGAGACCACATAAAAATACATAGAAACTAGAAATCTAAATAAAAAACCCACAACTAAATATATAAATATATATAACGTAGAAGGCAAGGACCATTTCATTTTAACTAGTCTCCAGGAAGAAGTACCTATGGTATACATGCATATATATATATATATATATGTGTATATAACTATTCTAATTTAGAGAGAGAGAGAGAGAGAGACTTTCAGGGAAATAATTAGGTGGATAATTTTTCTTCCTTTTCTTATTCTTCAAAAATATTATGCGCCCTACAAATTACTGAAAATTTTCTGTCCCGGGGAAAGTATTTTCTTGGGGTCAAACTGAGTTTTCATCTGCTGAAAATGTTTCCACTTTGCACCAAAATGATCCATCCAATCCTGTTGAGCTTCATAATGCGGAAGATACTGCTTAGCCTGTATACCAGCGTCATGGCAAAACTGCAATATTTGCTTATTTACTTCATCAATTGCCTCCCATTCACTATAAGAACTCGAATGCAAAAGACCAATGGTGTAGAAAACATCTTCCTCTGGAATCACCGCGGACATTTTGACATCCCATCTGAACATTAAAAAAATGTTACACAATTTGTCTTGTCACAAAAAATATGGGACATGATCATGATCACGTTGTTAAAAATGTATACTAGTACTTTTATTATAAGTCCCGAAAAATAAAAATAATAGCATACTTGTTTCGGTTCATCGGGTAAATGATAAAGACTCCCATGGGCACGCTTTGGTTAAGGAGGATGCCCTTGAAAACCCCAGAATTAAAATCTGAGACTTGTGACTCTGGCACAAAGAGGTTTAGCCATGGATGAGGAATTTCCCAACGCTGTAGTTCGCGGAGCTTTTCTTCTTCACTTTGCACTCGATTTAGAAAATCTTCATATGTTACATCTTTTACAAACCCAAATCCAGGAACAAAGCTTAACTGATCAAGCAGAATTTGGAGATCCTACATGCATAAAAATTAATTATTTTTAATATTACGTATCTATACTACAATTAGAGAGATTAATTACAGTGGTAAGTACAACACATTGTTCTAAAAAAAAAAAATTGACGATAACTAGGATTAATATATTGAGAAAACAACAGTTTCTTAGTAATAACTTAGTCCCAAATTCTATTTGCGACAAAGTCAATAATATACTTTTATTCACACCGCATATATTATACATACATATATATATATATATATATATATATATGGTGATGCAATTGTTGGTGACAAAAACCACTTTTTAATCACAAAAATAAAATATTGTTTTCTGTGACTAAAACCTTTAGTCAATATACGTATTCATTTTCGTAATAATCTTTTATAGTCACGTTTTCTGTGCGTTGACTCATTGTTAGTTATTAAATATACATAAACATATAAAACATAATAATATTGATGATATCATGTTAGAAACTAATAACGATATATATATATATATATATGAAGATTATGACTTGTTGAAGATACCTTGTCCACAGAATTCTGGGTGCTATCATCATAATATTTGGCCAGTTCTATAGAGTAGACGATGCCGGATTGAGTAACAAGAGAAGTTATTCTCAACTGGTCAGCTGTTGGATAAAAGGAAAGGTCTAAAGGACCCTGTCGCATTAGAAGAAAACCTTCTAGGTAATCCACTCCATTTTTTTCCTTTCTTCCATTCTTTGAGATCAACTTTTCTTGGTCTTTCTTAAAGGCCAAGAAGTCATTGTAAAACAGCCGAACCCACTTAACCTTTAAAAAAAACATAATTAAGTGAGTAATTAATGGAAACGAAATTTTTGGATAGACCACGAACACAAAAAGACACGCATATGTACTTAAGGGAATTTTAAAGTAGAAACTGTTGTCTTAACTATTAGATTAAGTTTTCAACGGCCTGATCTGTGATTAGAGCAGTTTCATATCATGCATTACAAATTTTTAAATGGACACTCATCAGACCACCGAAAACTTAAGCCAATTGTAAAAGTAGTAGATCCTATTGATATTTTAAAAGAACAAATTCTACCATAGAAGTTCCCTTATTGTTATTGGTTACCAAAATTTCTTTGCTTAAAAAAGTCCAATTTTATTAGTATATGTGAAGAGATCCATACCCTAGTTGGCGCTGGAGCAAGGGCAATTCTTGCTCTAGTTATAATCCCAAATTGGCCTAAGCCTCCAAGAACTGCATAAAATAGCTCAGATGCATTGTTTCTCGAGCAAGTCACAAGATCGCCTTTTCCTGTACATAGGATAATTAAAGTCAAGTATAACTAATTAAACAATAGTAACCAAATAATTAAGAAGAATAATAAACTATTCTCAGACGGCATGCTTAAGATTTTTTTGTATAACTCTAATATTGACAATTTGACTGGTTATTTAAAACCAGAAAATTACATATATGGTGTGAATGTTACTATCTTAAGATAATATACCAAATCTGTCGATTAATCCAACAACAATTTACCACACAAGTGATAGATATGGACACACACAAACACACACACATATATATGTATAGTTCCAATATTAATTAGTATACTATATGTGTTTGACCAAAAGCTATATATATGAGGGAGCAAATTGGTTTTAGATACATAGTTTATTGACGCCTGATTTGTTCGATTTCTTGTTTTCTTTGATAATAATGAAGATAAAAAAAATTATCACCACGTCATTTCACACGGCCATAATAAAAATAATAAAAAAAATTGAGTTAAAATCCAATTAATAACAATATTTTCACACGTAAATAAAGGAATAAGACAAGTTTATATCTAATATCATCGATCATCGGTTTTTCTATGTTGATCTTTTGCCTAAAAAAATAAGCAAGATAAAAAAATCCAAGAAAATGTCTTCGTCATAGATGTCATAAGACTCAAATTCCACAATTATTATCATCTTAGCCTTAATTGCTTGAAGATTTGTATTGTCCTAGATAGTTGTTCTTAGTTAGCTTTTTCTTCATATAAGATTAATGTTGACAGGAATTTGTTATAGTTGGACTTATATTATACGTCCTTTGATTGTATGACAATAAATTATCATATTTTGTTTGTCTTGAATAAAAGACATTGTGGAATGAATGCAAACTTGAAGATTTTAGCCACGATATTCCATCTAATATATAAATATATATATATATATATATATACACACACACACACTTGTCTTCTTTTAATAATGGAATTAGTAAGATTAAATTACTTGGCTTTTTCGTTACAAGTGTATTATAGCAGAGAGAGAAATGTAATGAATGTATAAAACATGTAACTTATATTTGACCATAGGTAATAATAAAATTTTCAAGAAAATCCATTATAAAACACGCACTTTCAAAAACATGTGTCCGAGCAGGAGGTTTACTTTTCTTTCCAGAAAAAAAAAAAAAGAGGATAAATTTATTTTCACCAGTGAAAAAATATTAAAAAAAAATCTCTTCAAAACAAATATTAGAAAATACTAATTAGATAAACATGTCTGCAAACAAACCAAAATAGAGGTATCCTTAACCCTATCTAATATATAATTCTGAACTTTCAAAGATCAGGAAGCGTCACTAAAATCTCTAACGTGATCTTTCCCTCGCAAATAAATAAATGGTCTAACATGATCAACACATTCAATATATAAATCAAAACTAGCTTTTGTTGACCTTCAAGGTACTTCTTTCAGACTAGAATTTTTGATATCTTAAAGTGTAAATTATAAATATCTCTTTAGAGCGAAAAAGACACACAGGAATATGTGCAACAATGACAGTTTTTTAAAGTGTGTTTTTAAAAAATGTTCCCAATTTTGTTTAAAAATGTCTATTTTATAAAATTTTAAAAATCAACAATTTATGTGATTGAAAATTGAAAATTGATAAATGAATAGACAGCTAAATAATGATTATTAACCCATGATCCTTTAAAATCAACTCATATCTTTTCATAAATTAATCAATAATTTATAAAATATTTGAAAAAAAAAGAATTAATTTAACAAAACCATGAACGCGCCTTTAATTAATTTAACACGATTAGAAAAATATTTGTAGTCCCATTAGTGCAAAGCACCATCACTAATAAAAGAAATGTGTCTCATCTATAAGTTTTATATTACAGAATTCATCTTTTATTAATAAATGGTATTTAACACTATCAGTGTCTGCAAATCCCACCTTTTTCTGTCTTTCACAAACAAAGAGCCAAAAAATTTGCCCATATACGACTGACACATGTGATCTTTTTTAAATTTAGGCCATGCAAATAGATATATGATGCACATGGTTCTTGAAAGGGTCGATCATCAATATCTCTTAGGTTTAGACCACCCTATTTACACACCCCACTATCCTATATACTAGATGAATCTAACCCAAATAGCGCTGACAAAGTGGGGAAATGAACTGATCAATCACTGTTTCATTTTTAGGTTTTCTAGCATAAGCATTATTGGAGTTACTTCTATCGTTGGAGGCCACAAAAAGCAAAGGACAAGGGAAAGCCATCATTTCATCATATGTGGGAATTTCCTCCTTTTACGACAACTATATGGAACATGTCACACTACTTGAAGATATGGGGATAAAAATGAAGATAAGGAAATTTCACAAAATAAGGTTGCTTATAATGATGTCCACCAACTTGGTACATGAAATTCGGTTAAGTTGATGCAAATGGAACTAGTTCATATTTTTTGGCAAATGGGATTTTGAGGTAATTTTCTTGAGTTGAGGTCATGAATAGGTTCTGGATTTTGTCTTCCACTAAATTAGTTTTCCGATGTTGTTTGTTTGTTGACAAAAAGTCATTTCTTCCTCTATAAAAAAATTCGATAAAATACATTTTATGATCGATCTATCTGTGAGTTATATATGTGTATCCTTTGTTTCTATCTATTGATATGAAAAAATAAATAAACAAGATAAATAATTCACATGTCATTATTCAACTAATAATAAGTTGTATGAGAAAAACAAAGTTATATATATATATATATATATATATATATATAGAGAGAGAGAGAGAGAAGTCAAACCTGTGATAACATCCATTTCATGGACACTGCTGATCTGAGGACCAAACCTGAAGGTTTGCCCACTAATCCCAGCATTGGAAAGCGTGCCACCAACAGTTATGTACAAGTAATCAGTCCAAGAGACCGGGGACAAGCTATGCTTTAGGGTATCGCGCAAAACATCAATCCAAATCTGCTCACCTCCAACATCAACATAAGGACCCAAATGAAAATTTTCCTTCACAACCTTAATCCCAATATTATAATTATTATTTCCATGCCTCGCCAACGACGTCATATTTACCACAATACCCCTCCTAGCCATGGCCTGTCCGCGCACAGAATGGCCTTGGCCTCTTGGAGCAATACTAGCAAGAGGACTAGTAGTACCGAAGTACTTGTCGTCGTTTGCTATTTGTATTAAGGTTTTGATGTCGTTTGGTGATGTTGGTTGGAAAACTGCATCTGGGGTTTCGTTGAATATGTGGCCATAGTCGGTTGAGGCTAGCTCGAGTGATTCGGTGTCGTTTTGGAACTTGTCCGAGATCAAATTTAGTGATTGGGACGTGGTTGTGGCGGAATACAGGAGAAGAGTAGTTACTACGAGGATGAAATTACCCATGTTGAAGTGTAATGTTATTGTCATTAATTTTTCTAGAGAAAAAAAAAAAAGGGTCAAAAGAACATATACGATTGGTGTAGAGAGAGAGAGAGAGAGAGGAGAAAATCCTTGTTTGTTGTTTTGTAGTAGGGCAACAAATTAGCTTGTATTTATATACGTTGGATGGCATATCACTGATTTATTTAGGACATGTATGTATGTGTGTATATATGCACTAAAAACGTGTACGCTTTTTCAAATTCACGCAATGAGTACAAAAAAGGCATTAATTTGAAATATGTACAATGTGCATTGTGCATGCTTTCTCAAAGATACGCAATCTCTTGGAAGTAATGACTTATTAATTCATTCAAGCAAAAGGACCAGGATAAAAAAGAAAAAGAAAACGTTGACTATATTAGGATTATAAACAAAATACATATATTCTTTTTTAGTCAAATATGGAAATCGAGTCACTAGATTACGTATTAGTACTAGCACAAATCCTTACGCATTTGCAACATAGAAGAGGCAAATGAAACATTTTCTTAGGGTCAAAATTAACACCATGATTATCATCGAACATATGGACATCATTTACAAAATAGGTCAACAAAAATCGATTGGCCGAAGAATCAACTTAAGAGACAGTATCGACTGGAGCAGTACTTATTGAGAATGGTGTCCTAAAAGTATGAGATATAATATGATATTTATGATTTATTTAATAAAATAGTTTATTCATTATTTTATGTGCATATATTATTGAATATTTTATAAATATCACTGAAAATTTCATAATTATTTATGTGACCTTAAATATTGTATATCGGTTTTATATGTGAGAGGATAATATTTAAGGATAATAATCAAAATGATGTTCGTAATGAATTTAATTAAAGTTCAAAATTTTTAATTAAAACATTACTAATACATGTCATTCCCATTCAGAATGGAACGGTGTTATCTGTACTATTAATATAGCGAGATATTGAATGAGTATATTACGCATAATGATATTATGTGGAACTCAGATACATACACAATATGAATTTTTAATCATTTCCGTTAAGTATGGAAATTCTAATTGAATCTACCGATGGTCATATATAAAATGATCTTAAACCTGAGTTATTAGCATACTCCTATTTATGAATTTGTGTCTTTTGATTTACTCTGTACGGATTCTGAGATCCCGAATCCTATTCCTTGTATTTTGGAGACATGATGAAGTGAGTAGTCGGGAATGTTATTATACAAGACGGAATCCATTCCTTCTTGAGAAAGAAGTAGATAAATAATTCTTTTGATGGTTGATTCAGTACTTGGACCAGTAGGAGCTCCGATTCTTTAATTTATTTTATGAATCACTGTCCATTAGAGAATCAATGGTACTCAAGGATAAAGATGTAATTAGAGAGGTTAACGGATTTCACCTAGCTCCAATTATGGATTATTTATGCAAGATTGATCTATATGTAATGATTATATCAAATGAACACTTCACAGTTTAAAAGTAATTTATGTCTATAATTATGGGAGTGCAATTTTTAGTTTATAGTGGCGTAACTGTTGGCATTAATAGAATTAATTAATTAATTAAAGTGTTTAATTAATTATTAATTCTATTGGAGCTCAAAATTATAGGTCTATGAGTCTCCGCGTCATCCTTGTGATCCTACAAGACACTAAGGGCAAAATGAGAATTTTAGAATTATGAAATTCTTATAAATTAAATAATGTAATTATTTAAGTTTAAATTTGAATGTTGGAACACACATGTGAAGGTGTTCACATAGTGTGAATGCTCATCACAACGTGAATCCCTCTAGGATTCAGTTGCTTGCTCTCTAAGTTATTAAATTGACTTATTTGATAAGTTGTCCAATTTCAAATTCAAATTGATTTGAGTTTGACTTAAATTTGAATTTGAATTTGAGTCAAAATTGGACTACAGGATAAATGCATAATTTTACCATATTCCCTAACTGCAGTATGTGCCTACCACATGGAGGAATCTCCCTGTGGTGGCCGGCCAACATTTGAATAAGGGAGAGTAGATTTTGTTTCAAAATTAAATTAAAAGTGAGAGATAATTATCAAGTTTTATCTTGGAGATAAATATTAGACTTCTTCTGAGAGTCTGGCTACTACTTTATAAATAGGAGATTGTAGAAAATTAGAGAACACGATTTTTGCTCTCTCCTAGCATAGGTGGCCAAATATTAGAGAGTGAGAAAAGGAAAAATTTTCTCCCAAATTTCATGTCATGCATGTGTTGGTGTTCGTAGGAACCTTGAGTGTTTATTTGCTAATCTCATTTTGTTTAAAGTGTGCCCACACATGTCTTCGTAGATTCAAGGAATTAACGAGAAAGATTCGGGTGTTTTAAACTAGCTTGGAGCAAGGAACGTTCGTGGTCAAAGAACTCAAGTTATCGACCTAATCATTCATTAGGTAAATAAATTATTTTGATTCATTTATTCGTACATAAATTAATGCAATCTATAGAATAGCTCAAAGTTTTTTAAAAAATTTTGTTATACACGATCCGCTTCATACATGCTTCCGCATCCGGAATCGTTTCATAAACTAACAGTACGAAGACAGGAGACCCGTTGCGACCACCACGGATAAATCATGAAAGAAAGTTCCTTGGAAGCCACGAAAAATAGATCAACCAAATTAGGCAATAAGAACTAGAATCGGATCAAATTTGAAGAGTAAGCTTCCCTAATCAAATCAGTAAGCTTCCCCAAGCTTCTCTTCTTTCTTCTTCACCATTGGAATTGTCCTTTTTACACATATAGTGAAACTCTAAGACTTTACATTAGACATAGCCCCAGCCCCGTGTGTTTATTTATTTTTTCACACTTTACATTATCGTTCTAACGTTCTATCGACTCAATTCACTCTAATAGATTCACCAAAATGATCGACATAATTCTCTAAACAAATTTAATTGTCAAAGTTCGACCTCTACATTTATTATAAAGAAAATAACGAAAACGAAGATTTTCTTTTTACGGCACTGAAAATATTTGATGATGATCGTATAATTAAAGAAGGAAAAAATAACCAAAAAAAAAAACCCCTGTTGATGAGACTGAGTCGATAATGTCAGTGATTCGATGATGTATGCATGGATTCCACTTTGGTCATATTTGACATATACGCGTTAATATTATTTAAGGGTACAAACGGCAATAAAATGAAATATAACTGACTCAATGATCAATTATATGTATCCTTCAAAAAAATCAATTATATATATATATATATGTATAGATTAGAAATTTAGAATCAGACCAATTGAAACTTTCTTCTCATGTTCCTAAAAGTCAAGTTTTTTGTTTGACCTTCCCACTAAATATTTCCTTACATTAACTCTATCTTGATTTCTTAATTACTCGATTCTTGGCTGGCTTCCCGTAAAATAAATTCACGTAATCTTCCCTATAAAATGCTAATCAATTCCTTCTTCAATGTCTTTCGGGATTTTCAGCCGCCCATATCAGCCTAGGAAAATGACCATTTACTAATTATAGCCTTAGCACTAATCAATACCATCACAATCAACCTAATCTCTTATGCCTTGTGATTTTTGCGGTTGAAGTACTGAATAGCATATTTATGAAACTAAATGAATTAAATAACATATTTTAAAATTATTTAAAATAAATAGTAGTTTACGCAGTAAATAAATTATTTACCGTATAAATAGTTTATTTATAATTAGTAAAAATATTTATTTTCTTACGTAAATTTTTTTTAAGACTGATAAAAAGATTTTTTTCATGTAAAAAAAAACTTTTAAGATTTTTTACCACATAAGTTATTTTTAACCCGTCATAAATAAATCATTTACAAATGATTCATTTACCACATAAATTATTATTTATCTCAAATAATTTTAAAATATGCTATTTACTTAATTTGGTTTTAAAAATATGTTATTTACTACAATTTCCCACAAATTTAAAACTCTCTTAGTCTCTTTTACTTGTTTGCTTTTGCTTGCTAAAAGTGTTATTACAGCTTTGTGCCGCTATAATCAAACTTCTCATGTTCCCTGAGATTTTTTTTTTTTTTTTTCAGAGAGAATTCTTTAAAAAAATAAATAAATAAATACGGCAATTCATGAACCAAGCCATAAGAAAAAAATTAGGCTAAAAGTGGAATCTGTAACGCTACTCTTTTAAGATTAGGCCTCAATTGGTTTGTTGTTTAGACAAGGGAAAGAAGAAAAAGAAAAGAGAAGAGTACCCTAACGAACGATAGTAATAATAGAGAACTTTATACTTACTCTTAACTCATTTCCTTTCGGTTGCATGTAATAGTCAAACCCACAAGCATTCTCAACACAAGCCACCGCCAATAT